TAGTGGTATCTTCTCATCATTTGTTGCATACATACAATATTTGAAATGGTTAAGTGAAGAACAGAAGCCACTTTTCAAATTGTACGCAATCCTTTTCCCATGCCTTTGCTGTCAACACCTATCCATGCTGAACGTTGCGAAGATATTATTGATTGGGGTGTGGCCAAAAGTGCAATATGCTTCAAAATGTAACTGACAGAGAGCAGTGCTTTTGTCCTGTGTTTTTACACTCTGCCCATGGATTTTATTTTATTTCAAGATTTTTAATTACGTCGCTAAACTCCTTGAAAAGGTCCTCTTCCTTTTCTCCAAGGTACACGACAAGGCAGCGGATAGCTATAGTTCTCTGCATACTTCAATTGTATTGTGCTATTTTTGAAACAGGAAAAAAAGAGAAATGACCTAAATTAATATATTCTGAATGGGTGACTTCCAACAACTTGCATTTCAATGACAACTCTAAATAACGATCCTACCTCAAGAAGCATGTCCTTGATCTGCTTCACCGAGATTCATTTTTAATAAAAAGCGATATCACAAAATAGTAACCAAAGTATTTTTACTCTCACAGTAGCCTCTACTACTTTGTATCCTCTCACATAACTATTCACAGTTCAAAGGCTGCTAATTTTGGTCAAACAGCAATTTGCCTATACAGTGCTACTACAAGGCTATCTACTGTATTTGAATGACAAAAGATGACACTCACATTAAAATGTCCTTTGTATATTTCTATTTGTCTTAACTGTCGGAACTTGTCCAGGCATGTTAAGTGGGAGTGGACTTGAAATCCTTAACTCAAGGTGTAGAACAATTAAGTTATCAAGCCAATTGCATTACTTGCTACAACTTGAATTTTGTTTTAAGTCAATTAACGCAGAAATCAGAGTTCAAATTACACACAATATTAAGTTGATGTAATAACCAACATTATTACGTCAACGCAACTTATAAATTAATGTTTGCAACTTAAAATGTTTATCTAAATCAATTAACTCACATTTTTTATCTTGCAACCATGCATTTAATTAAGTGGAGTTGAAAGGTCGCCTGAATTCGTTTTTAGAGTGTGGAGGCTTTCATTATTATTGTGGAACTGATTTCCCAATAGGACATTTTCTGTTTCAATGTAGGTTGTTGCAGGAGGCCTACATTCAAACTTTGGTATAGGAAATGACATGTATGTACAGTTTTGTTGTGTGAGAATAAGTTATTATTTTGTTCTTTATATTCTCACTTGTGGTGTGTGTGAGTGAATGAGTGATGAGTGAGAGAGAGACTGCCCTTTGTACATGTAGCTGTGGCTGACAATAAATAATGTTGTTATGAACAGATTTGCCTCAGAGTCCTGCACGAACTGTGCATAGACTGTATTTTAACATTGGTACTTGGAGAGATAACTATTTCCTCAAGTGGTACTTGGTGTAAAAAGGTTGAGAACCACTGCTGTAGAGAATTAAAAAACGAAGTAAAACCACTATTGCTGTTAGAATAAGCACAAACTACAGCAGTGCTATGTATTAGCATAATCAAAACAACATCTGTTTTTTATGTTTTGGGTTAATTAGTTATTTTTATGATTTTTTTAAAGTCATGTATTGTTTTTTTTCTATTTGGTTCAGTTACTTGCCAATATCTTCCCACTCTGTTTCAGGAGAGGAGCAGGTGTATGCCCAAAGGCTGCATGGCTGAGCACAGTGTGTCTGTGTAATAGATGTAACACATGCAACAGTCCCTCGTACGCATTCCCTCCACTCACAGACTGAGCTTTTCTTTTGTAAGGTCAGATGTTATGGATCTGTGCTTTGTCCTGAGGATAAACCGTGTTAAGAACATTTCTTGGAACATGGAGTTAAATCTGTGTTTTTCTCAACACAAAAATAAATCTTCATATTTTAAACATTTGTCCTAGACTCACAAAGTACCTTGAAAAAGCCTAAACCCTAACCTGATTTTCAAAACAGCTAGATTTATTTAGCAGGGACTAACTGCGTTCCCCATATATTAGACTCATAGTTAAAGAATATTGAATTTGACAGCATATATTGTTCAGCATTGAACATTGGTAATAAGTGCATCTTGAAATCTTGTCACACAATTTGGAAATATATATTTAAAAATGAAATGTTCTACTTCTTGGAAAATACAACATTTTAGGGCGTTTTAGTAGTTCTTTAATTATTTTTCATTTTTTGTATTGACTGCTCAGTTATTTTTAAATTACCAGATTCTTTTTGATTAAAAAATTCAGTCAATAAAATGTTTAAAATGTCCATCCTAATCAGTCAGTTACCAGCAGTTGAAATGATGGAAGCTGTTATAGTGTTATGACAGATGATGAGGCTATGAACCCTCTTCTCCCTCCCTTTTTCTATGTCCCTTTTTTACCCTCCTACGTCAGACACACTTCCCCTCCTCCCTCATTCATACTCATTCATACTGCACCGCCCCACCCCCCAACACACACTCCCTCTCACCTCCTCTCCCCTCATTCAATTCATTCACAGTCTCAAGGTGGGCATCAGGCTGTGACCCTCCCTGACCTCTGTGGGGGAGGCCAGAGCAGGTGTGTGTGTGTGTGTGTGTGTGTGTGTGTGTGTGTGTGTGTGTGAAGGAGGTGACAAACAGAGGGGGAGTCGGGCACCTGTCCTCTTAAGAAAGGAGGAGCAGTATATCTGTCAAACTACAAATACATCATGCAGGATAAATCAGTGCGCTGTCCAATCCCCTACTTCCTGTCTATACCACTATCACTTCCATCTCTTTTTTTCTCTTTACATCCACTGTTTCTCTCCCCCTCTCTCTGCTTCACCACTGCAGCAGAGACAGAACTGCCTCTGACTGCTGCAGAGAGGGGGGGTGGGGGGATGTAGTGTGTAGTGCAGGAGGATAAAACAAAGCAGCTGTGAGCTTGTAACTGGTGTTTTGCAATCCTAAAAAAACCTCAAATAAACCTTCTTCTGCTCCTGATTTCCTGTCTTGCTTTTCCTCTCACACTCCTCCATCCTCCTGCTTTCACACCATGCAGACCCCCCCCCTCCCCCTATTCCCCAGCTCAGCATCATTATCCGTGACCGGTGAGCCTGGAGGCGCTGACTGCATCCCCTGCCCCCCCCAAAATATCCCAGCCTCCCAATCTTTTGCTCCTCTCCTCTCCTCTCCTCTCCTCTCCTCTCCTCTCCTCCTCCACCCTAACACAAGCAGCACACTCACTCACTCCCCCACTCCATCACTCACTCACTCTCCCACACTCTGAAGATGTGAGGCAGGGGAGGGGCTCCCATGCGCTGGCTCGGCTGCCTGCCATTTTATTGTTTTGAGGAGGTAGATTTTTTTTCTTCTCTGTCATCCTCAGTCTTGCCCTCTCGCTCGTCACTGATCCGCCCCCACCCCTCCTCTCTCTCTCCTGGTTCAGCGTACAGCAAGCAAGTAGAGAGACAGAGTGGAGGAGGGAGTGGAGCGCAACCTCAGTTTGAAGTCTCCGGAGTGTCTCCTCAGCCTCCTGTATTGTTGTTATTTACCCTCCTGCTTGGCATTTTCCTCTCAGCACACCTTTTGTGTGGCTATCTTTGCAAAAAACGCACCTCTCTTTCTCTATAGCTCTTCCTCTGCTCATTCTCTCTCTATCCGACTCTGCGGTGAATAGCGTTTGCATGTGTCTGTCGGCAGACCGGCGAGGATGCGGATACCAGCGGCTGTCTGCAGCTGCCACAATCCCATGGGCTGTTCACGATGAATGCTACCGGTAATGGAGTTATTGCAGTTAGGATAGAGGGTGCAGGTGGAAGTGTGTTGCATGCAGGTGTGAGGACGGTGCTGAGGAAGGGTGCTGATGTTGACCTGGATATTTTGGTGATGCTGTCAGAGCAGGCGTGAGGTGTTCTTACTGTGTCTTACATTTTGATCATTTGCAACCTTTGATGGACAGTGGATGTGTATTGAGGGCTTGTTTGGGTTTGGGTGTGTGTTGATGCGGTGTTCTGTGTACATGTGAATTCCTTCCGCCATGCTTGTTGGTACACGTGTGTCTACCAACATGTGCCTGCTGTGCGTCATTAAACATTCATGTGTGTGTGTTTGACCTTGTATTTCCTGCTGCTGGTGTGCTGATCTACACTGTATTCCCAGAAGCTAATGAATGTGTGATAAGGAGTGTCTCTTATGCAATCATACTTATGCATCTATTATAAACTGGACACATTTTCAGCATGCACTTATGAGAGTGTTTTTTATGTGTTTGAAATGAGGAATCAGGATTGACACCTCTCTTTCTCTCTGGGCCAGCTGGGGGACTGGGTGTGTGAGAAGATGCTGATGGCGAGGGACAGCAGCCGAGACGAGACCCAGAAGCTTCACAAGAAATGGCTTAAGCACCAAGCCTTCATGGCCGAGCTGGCCCAGAATAAGGAATGGCTGGACAAAATTGAAAAGGTGAGTGCTGAGTTACATTTTTCCTGGAGCAGGTTAAAATGCCACTTTGGAATAGTGAAAAGGATTTTTGTGTATTTTATTATAAATGATTTGGGTTTCTTCCAACAGCAAGCGGTGAAGGATGTAATAACTGAGAATAATGTACATATTGGTTATAGGAAGTAAAGTCACACAAGTCATTTCTATGGATTTGGGCCCCCTTACATGTCTCAATTTGTGCTCCTTAAGGTATATATTTTATTATTTCCTTTTGTTTCAGTATTTATTGGTTTGGTAGACGCTGTCCCCCTTTTTTTTGTTTTACTTGGTCATATATTTTGCATTGAATGACATATTTGAAGCTTTGTTTGTTGTCACATGTTGTTTTGAGCAGTTGCATATATGAGTGCTGGATACCAGACATCTTCGTGACACTTGTTAATACCAGCATTTTTATTTATGATTAGGTATCTGCAGAGATTCAATTAATACAATAAAAATAAAAGTGTTTACATTAGTTTGTCTATTTCCCATAGTAAAATGTAAGCGGCTCACAATTAGCAAAGACAATACTGAATGGCAGCTCTTAACTATCTGTTTGGTCGTTGACGTTTAACATTATTTCTTTATTATTTTTGCAAATGTTTTATTTTAAATAGTTACTTTTTTGTTTCTCTTTAGACATACCTTTGTAAACAAAGCTTATACACCAGTTTCGCATCCATTTCATTACTCAATGTTAAATTTATCTTAAACGGTTTTATACACAAGTCCTTGAATTAAAAACCAAAGCGCTATATGTTCTTAATATCAAGCATACCAAAACAAGTTGCAAGGGTAGAAAATATTACACAGAGGGGAGCTGTAACCTTCAGCAGGCTCTGTGTTCTGATAAGATCTGTTTCATATTAAGGAGGTTTATACAGCACATGGCCTCTGTGTGAAGCTGTAATCTGGTCGGCCAGGGTTCCCCAGCTGCATGTCCAGCTCTCACTGGACACACTTTCTGTTCACAACTCTGACTGGCTGCAGTCTGGAATCTGGATGTGTGTGTGACATCAGCAGCGTTCAGTGTAACTGTGGTTCAGTGCCAGATTCCCTCAGGAAGCCTGTAACTCATCACAGATTTGTTATCCTTATTTAGGGAACGCCACACTTCATTCTGTTTGTACGAGCCTCTGTGTTTGGCCTGTGACGACGATAACAAAACAACAACGTATCAAAACTACAGATGACCTTACAGTAGGTGTTATACTGCTGTGTATGGAATCAAAAGCATGTTAAGACACCCAGAAAAAAACATGAACTGTTTTCTATTAAATTATCAGAATGTACATCAAAATAAACTTTTGGGTAAGAAAACTTTAGATACAAGTTACAAAAAAGGAAATAAACAATAATACAAAGCACGCAAATCAATCTTTTAGCTGGAATTGTTTACTTGTGTAATGCTTCAACACGCAGTTGCGGTCTACGTGAGCCCTTTCTACACAATTAAAGGCATTTTAATTCAAGCTAAAAGAGGCAAAAAAATGCTGCTTCAGTCACGTACATGTTTCTTTAGATATCAACATATCATACAAAATGAATTTAGTTCTTTATATCAAAACAGAAGCAAAAAAACAAACTTGCAAATGTATAGAAATCCATGCATTCATGCACAGAAAAATATTTATACATATGTATAAACCAGGGATGTCGGACTACAGGCTCATTTTTGGTGTATATGATGACTTGACATCGGCGCGGGACAAATCGTCAGCTCTGTACAAACAGGAAGTAACTCTTTAAAAAGGAACCGGGGAGCTAACGGTCAAAGGGTGTAGGGCCAACGAAAGCTAAATGATGTGAAAATCCCATCCCTTACATACAAACAAGCAAACTTTCAAAGAGAATGGTCTGTTGAAGAAAATAGTGTGTGTCTACCGAAGGTCCAGTTGTGATAGACACGGTTCAGGTGATAGGCAGGTAGATTGTATAAACAGCTTTTGGCATGACTTCTGTTCTGACAAGAGCCAGAAAACGACTATATTATTGGTGAATAGCGAAATTGCATACTGAGTGTATTTCACTGAAACTCATATGGTGGTATGTCTGTAGTTGACTGTTGCATTATGACTCAACCCTCCGCAGTCTCATCCTGTGCAGGGCTGTAACTGATCTCCTGGTGGAGCTGAGTGATGGAGCACAGCACTGCCCTTTGAGTTCTTTGTGCACATGCTGTATGACTTCTAAAGACACGGTTGAGTTTAAATCTGAGGATGTTAGTCAGTTAATCAGACAGCTGAAAGGCAGACAACGTATCAGAATCTCTTTATACAATCAATAAAATGAGCATTAAAAATTGACATTATCTTGAAAGGCAGCCAGATTTGTGACACTGCGAGATTACGCAAGAATATACCCCATTGTAATTGCTAAGTCTCTCTGGAGCATGGTATATATCATAAACTAATGTTAATTGGATGTATGCAGAGAGAAGATCACCCTTCATCCCTCATAAAAAAGAGAAATAATAGTACTTAAGGTATATCTGCATTATCCATTAAAAGAGGAGTATCATTGTTTGCATGACCGAAAAGGTCCTTTTTAAAAATAAACAGCATAATTCCTCTTTTAATGTTCTGCTCATTCTGTATTTTTACTGTGAGCCTTTGCCCAGAACATAGCCTTTTCTCTATATTTCTTCTTTTGTAGTGGCCACTGTGACGTTGGTGTGTGAGAGAATGTGAGTGTGTGTAGCTGTCCGTGTGCATGTCTGTAACGTGGGCATATGATGGTAGATAAATGGGCTGACTGATGTGTAATGATATGCTGTGATATAATGTGGAGCAAGCAGCACTGTGAGGCCTGTGCGCCGAGCTGCATCCATTATAGATTCATGGGTCATGTGCTCATCTGAAGGCAGAGCTGGGTTACTGGAAAATGCTTACAGGAAGAGAGAGAGAGGGACAGACAGCCGAGGAAGAGAAACACTGTAGTTATTAATTTTTCAAAAATGGACATTTGAAAAGCAATTTACCAATTTGAGGGAAAATAATTCTATTTGTCTGGTTGGTCTGACACTATTAATCGTCTAGGGACAACGGGCAGTATTTCTGGAGTTCAGCTAAGAGTTCGGACAAGACCTCCTTTTTACGTGCATCAGTCATTGTTTACAGATGATAGAGAGATGACGAAGACCAAATTGAGTCATGTTTCAATGCACATTTTACAAAAAAAATAATAAAGAGGTAAATCATCAGACACTAGGCGATGGCTTCTTACGCTGTATCTCAGCCATGTCTACCACCTCATTTGATTTCCACAGACTGATATTGTATTCATTTGCTGGTGTCGATTTATAGAGATTATAAATGCATTATTTGCATGCGTATTGTTAACGGTAATATTTCTTTAATCTATATTTAATAGGGATGTAACGATACCAAAAACTCACGGTACGGTAATACCGCGATAACAAGTCCACGGTACGATATTTATCGCGATATATTGAAGGAAAAAAAAATTTCTAAAAAAGAATACAAATT